GAAAGAGTGAAAAACACCTCACAGTGAAATGCTACAACCTTGAGGCTGTTGTCCCATCACAGAAACCCCTTATTCCTAGTCCCCAACATTATGGAAATTACTGACTCCATCTACTCAGCAACTGCTAAACATTCTGCTTAACATTCTACTCTCACAGATTTGGCTACGTCTGTTTTGTTCAGTTCCTGTTTCAACAGCCTCTCAGCTGCACTTGGCCTTCACCTCTGAAAGGACATGATACACCTTTAACTGGTTACCGTCAGGGAACCTCAACACCACTGTGAACACATACAGTCTCTACAGGCAGGATCTGAACTGCATCCACCTTGTGCCACGAGCAGAGATATGACATTAATGACATCTCTTCTCAGGAAGTTCATTTGATATTCAGGACATACAGTATTGAAAAAGGTGGGCTTGTAAAAAGTGGATGGGCATTGCTCCAAACATATGAGGCCTGGATACCTTTAATGAATACATTAAAAAAAAATTTAATAAACAGAAGCCCACCCCTTCCTGGCACCATGAAGAAATACCAATAGTCCGTCTCAGCACTCACAACATTGTCTAGATTCTTGTGATGTTTGGGAGGCAACATATCCCTTGTTTATAAATTTACCGGAGCCCATTTATGCGGTTACTTGGAAATTGGGCCACCTTGAATGGACAGCCCTACCATAGAAGGCTCAAGACTGTTGCCATACAACAGGCACACCTGGTAGTGTCCTCAGAGACTCCTTCACTATAGTGAAGAGGCTTCAGCACCCACCTCCCATACCTTCTGGTCACCCCTGATGGTCTTGTGTTGTAATTTCTCTCTTTTTCTTAGTTATGATCACAAGATGTTTATCAGTTTCATTGATCTTGTCAAAGAACCAGCTTTTTTTCTTTTAATATACTCCACTGATTTTTCCCCCAGTTTTTATTATTTCTTTTATTCTGCTTACTTTGGGTTTAAATTGTCCTTTTCCTTCCGAAGGTAGATATTTACATTGTTGATTATAGATTTTTCTTTTTTTTCTAGTGTATTTGTTCAGTGGCATAAATTTCCCTCTAAGCATTGTTTTGCTGCATCCCACAACCCTTGATTAGTTGTATTTTCATTTACTTCAAAATAATTTTTTATTTCTCTTGGGACTTCTTTTTTGATCCCATGTATTATTTAGAAGCATATTGTTGAATCTCCACGTATTTGGGGGAGTTTCTGACTATCTTCATGTTACTGATTTCTAGACTAGTGCCTGTGTGGTGTGAGAGCATATTTTGAATGACTGCTGTCCTTTCAAATTTGTTAAAGTTTGTTTTATGTCCCAGAATGTGTTCTGTCTTGGTGAATGTTCCTTATGAACTTGAGAAGAATGATTTCCATGGATTACAATTAAATCCAGTTGTTCCATGGTGCTATTGATTTCAGTTCTGTCCTTCCTAATTTTCTGCCTGCTGCAATTGATAATTCATGATAAGGAGGTGTTGAAGTCTACAACTAGTAGTGGATTCACTTACTTTCTTGCATTCTATCAGTTTTGGCCTCATATATTTTGCCCATCTGTTGTGATGCATGTACACATGAATGATTGTTATGCCTTCATGGAGAATTGACACCTTTGTCATTATGATAAAGTCCCTCTTTATCTTTTTAAATTTATTTAATTGAAGTATGGTTGATTTACAATGTTGTGTTAGTTTCTGCTATATGGCAGAGTGATTCAGTTATGCATATATATACATATTCTTTTTCATATTCATTTCCATTATGGTTTATTACAGGATATTACACACTCTGCGTCATGGAGTGTGTAAATGGTGGATAATAAGAAACGGGAGGAAAGAGTTTTTCTCACCAATGGATGGTCTTAAATTGATAATATTTATTTCATTTGTATAGCATTTCTGACATTTCCCAACATGTTTTGGACCCTGCCATTAGACAGCAATAGGATTTGTAATGTGATCACAGTAAAACTATGTAAATAATTTTCATGTGTTCCTGATGCTGTTAAATTTATGAGGAAGTAAGTATGGACAGAGAATTAGTTTCTGATGATCAAGTCAGAGAATAAATGTTGGGAGATAGCAGAATCATATGTAACCTTCCTTATAAATGGAGTATAGATGTCCAGTGCTGTCAGTCTTACTCATCCTACCATACATATATATGTGATGTTGTAGGACGCAGTGGTCTTTGAGGATGTTGCTGTGAACTTCACCCTGGAAGAGTGGGCTTTACTGGATTTTTCACAGAAGAAACTCTACAGAGATGTGATGGGGGAAACCTTCAGGAACCTGGCCTCAGTAGGTAAGGATGACAACTTACCTTCACCTTGTCAGTCAAAGGTCAAGTTTTTCTGCCCTACAATATTATTCTAAGAGGTGGAATGTGTACAGGGAGGGCATTGGTAAATAAACTAGGTATGGTCACAGCTCACTGTAGTACTAGAATCTAATAATATTTCTATAACTTCTAATACTTTGGAATCATTTTTCTGTGTCTGCATTTTAGGAGAAACATGGAAAGATCATGACACTGAAGATAAGTGCAAAAACCAGGGGAGAAAACTAAGGTGAGTGGCACTCCCAGCAGAAAGCAGTGTTTCACATGAGAATTATATTATTGTACCAGATCTTAAAAAGAAACAAGACAATCCATGCTTCAAATTTATTGCTTCTCAGAAAATTTTCACCAAATTACTTTCTTACATATGACATAATGTTCAGTGTTTGCAAAATAGTTCACTTGGAAACAGCATTAATAAGCCCTATGTATAAATATCACTGTTTTGGTGAGCAAGGGTGAGTCCTCTCGCGGAGCATTCAGTATATTCAGTTTTGAACAATTCACCCGAAATAGAAAAATACCTATAGTTTTGCTACAAATAATAAAATTGTAGCTGAAATATTGTAATAAGTATGAAATCATTAATAAAGAGATCATTAATAATCCCACCTTGTTTTTTGCAGGAGTTGTAAGGTAGGGAGAATATGTGAAGGGAAAGA